TGTAGTACACTGTGGCTGTTGCTTCACCTGTTGTGCCTGTGTTGGGGCTTGCTGCTGGCAGTAAGGTGGCTGCATGGTCGACGGGGTGGCTTGCCATGGCGGGCTGGCGGTCCATGCTGCTGCCGTGGGTGTGGTGTGTTGCACCTGCTGCCCATGCTGCGGCTGCGACTGCTGTTGCGGGTGCTCTGTGTTGAGGCTGTCGTCGTGGGAAGTCGCCATGGGCTCATTGGGCCCCACTGCAGCCTCCGTGGTGCTCGGGGCTGCCGGCTGCCCTAGTCGCACGTTGCGGCCGCTCCCCCCCGGCGGGGGCTTTTCCGAGGCTAGGACTGCAGCCCACACCATCAGGCCACAGGTCATCATCATCGTATTGCGAATTGACTTCATGGCTGCAAATGGGCTGCCAGAAGGGTCACCAACTAACTGCTCTGAGCAGGCGGTGGCTTTGGGGTGAGTTGCATCACGTCTCCCCTTGGCCCGACTGGCATTGACTCACATGTCGGCATACTGTGTTCGTGCTGCTTCCTGCAAGCGCACATGCAGAGAGGCTAGAGGCTCCGTACATGTGCAAGTGAAACGTGAAACACCATGTCCTCTCCCTTCTGTCTGTTTTTTGCTCCTCTGTAGTGTCGTGGGGCGTGGCGTGGTGGTAGGTGAGGTGGGCCCCCGTCATGGGGGCATGGGCTGCGCGGGCTGAGTGCTGTCCCCCTATGCTGTCAGCTGGCGCTTCATTGGCTGGGAGGACCGCTCTGCTTGCCCCCTGTTAGGTGCAATGTTGTCGAGGCTGCCCTGTTTGCCTGAGGCCCATGGTACGTCGAAGCGCGTCACAAACTCCTGTGCAAGCCCGTTCCATGCTGCTCTGTCCTGTGCAGTCTGCATCCAAGCTAGCCCCCCCACAGCAACAATACTGCAAGTTTTTCCAGCTGAGCATGGCGGCCCCCCACTCGGTGGATCTGGCCATGTGTCCGTAGAGCCCCCAGGTCTGCGATAGTAGGAATGTGCTTGACCGGGGCTCCCCCGATTGGTGTAGTTGGACTCGTGCTCGCCGTAGGGTGCGGTTGTTCCAGTCTACCCACGCCTCCCCGGGGTGCCGGGCCTCCCGCATCATGGCCCGGATGTGCCGGAGCTGTGTGCTGTTGACTGGTTTGTGGAGGGTTTCCACGATGGGCCAGGATTGGCTCGCCCAAAGCGCTGCATTTCGGACCCATGGTGGTATGCATTTTGATGCGCCCCCTGAGGGGGGTGGGTGCACACAGGAGCTTGCTGTGCTTGTGGAATGCTTTGCGGGCACGCTCGTTCATGGCTGCTGTGATGGCCGCCACTGGCTCAGCGAAAGTGAGGGGGGAGCCGAGCGCTGTGATGACCGTGCCGTAGGGTTGGCATGGCACCTCTTGCCCCCCCACTTTGAAGGACCCTCCCCCCTCCGGCTCGCTGTAGAGGATGGCGGTTTTGCCCGAGTGGACGGAGAGGCCGTCCTTGACTTCGAGCTCGGTGAGTGTGCGCTGCAGGTGGTCGCGGTCATGACTCCAAAGGTAGGTGTCATCCATAAACGCCCCCCCGGATTGGGGGGGGTTTGGACCCCCCACAGGTGGCAAGTGTCTGGCGGTGCGCGTGAGGACCTCGTCCAAAGCCGTGGCGATAATGGCAGCAAAGAGCACAGGGCTATCGGGGGATCCCTGACAAACCCCATTGCTTTGTGGGATGCTAGTGATGGTGTCGCCGATGGCAACCCGTAGTTCACGGGCTTCAAGTAGGCCGAGCCACGCACGTGCTTCCCAGGGGGATCCCCCCATGGCCGTTTTGCCCGGTGGAGAGTAGTTTGCCGACTCTGGTCGCCACAAGGTGTCCCATGGACTCCTGCCAAACGGAGTCGAATGCCTTGCGGATGTCACAAGGCGAACTAGCCAAACAGGCACCCCCCAGTCACGGGACATGCGCATGACACGTCGCAGGACCACGAGTAGTTCCGTGCCTTGCCGCCCCTTTCTCGCCCATTGTCCCCCTCCTGGAGCTGGCGCCCCCCTCGGAGCAGGAGGAGTTGGCCGAACCATTTGAGTACGGCCGACGACAGTGTGATGGGGCGTGTATCTCCCCAGTCGTCTGGTGCCCCTACAGTTTTGGGGAGGAGCACCGTAACCCCCTCCAGGGCCGAGGGGGGGAGCGCGCCACGGTAGAGGAAGTCGTTCAGGATGTATTGCTGCAGCATCGCCTGCAGGGCCTCGAGCGCCACCCCGTCAGGCCCTGTGGCTTTTCCCCGGTGCCACGTGGCTGTTGCCACCTGGAGCTCGCTGTCGGTGAAGGGCTTCCACGGGGTATGTTTGCATGCGCGCGTGAGGGCTTCGCGCAGGATGTGGAGCTTCGCGGCCGTATGGCTCTGCGGTACCTTGTGGAAGATGCTCCGAAAGTGCTGGGTGAGGTGCTTTTGCCAGTGGATGTCGTCTAGAAGGCGGTGCTCCCAGCCTTGTCGGTTGCTGTGGTGGTCGAGGGACCGCTTGGCGCGCCAATCCTTGGCTGGCTCTGTCGATGTTCGCTTGCTGCCATGCTCGTTGTTCTTGTTTGCGTGCCCTGCTCACCGCTTTCCATGCTGTTCGGGCTGCTTGTCCCCTATGGGGGAGTCGGTGCACTGCTCTGCGCTGGGCTTGGAGTTGCTTGCTTTCGCGGAATCTGTCGGACCCCCCTCCTGGCACCGTGATGTCACGGGCTGTTCGCGCAAGGTCGGCCTGGGGGTCGGCGCCTCGGGCGGCGGGCCGTGTGGCCAGCTGCTCCCCCGCTGCATCAGGTAGTCCAGGCGCCGTGGCTGCATCGCCTGGTTGTAGGGGTAAAAGGTGGGCTGGGGGGGAAGCGAGCCCCAAGGGAGGTCGCCCACATGAGGACCTCCTCCCCCCTGCTGGTGTGTGCCAGGAGGCCCCCCCTTCCTTGGCAGTGAATGTCTCATTGGCATCCATGCCTATCCAGAGCTTGCCCTTGCTTCTGGGCAGTGCCTCACCCCACTCGGCCAGAAGGGCTGTAGCTTGTTCTACTGTGGAATGGTGTGGCAGGTGGGCGGCAACGAACCTGCATCTGTGGTGTGTTCGTGGGCAGCGTATGGTGGTGCTGAGTGCATGGTTGTGGACTCGTGGTGTAAGCCTCTGCTGCTGTGGTAAAGTATGCCCTCGCCTCTCCAACTTCCCTCTTTCTTGCCGTACACAAAGACCCAGTCATACTTCGCGGCAAAGTACAGTCCTGCATCTGTCACTACCTCTTGTAGTAAGAGAACATGAATTCCAGAAAGGACGGGGTCGTCGCCGAAATTCCGGGTGAGCTCGAGGATCCTTTCCCCCGCGAGCCCCCCCAGGTTCCAGCTGAGGACCCCCAGCGCGACCTCCTCTGGGCCGTTCGGGGGGCGGCGGCGGTCTTAGGGAGACCCGTGCTTGCCCGGTGGGCGTTCCTGGTCGTACCAAATGGTGCCCGTGGAGAACTCGACCTCCATACGCCCCTGCTGGGCCCCCATCTCGAGCAGGGCCCTCTTCACTTTGCCGGCTAGCCTGGACTTGCGCCTGCGCTCGGGCGACTGTGAAAGCGACATCCAAAGCTTTCTGTGCCCCCCTGCCGGGTTAACCCCCAGCATGACATTGGCTCGACGTACTTTTTGCTAGGTAGTCTGGACGATCTCACGGCGTTGGTCTTCCGACTCCCCTCATCGTTGGGGAATAGGTACTATAGCGTACCCCCTCTTAAGCCCCGGCACGAACATTTCGCTGTAGTCGAGAGGGACATCAAGCTGCCGGAGTATGTCCTTGGCTTTCTGGAGGGTTTCACTGGCCGGTTGTTCATCCGGCCAGCCGCCGATAATGAGGGCAGGCCGCCGTGGCCCCTCCGTGTCGGCAGTGCTCCCCCCATTGACCGAGGAGCCCTTGAACTTGCTCTCCAGGATCGCCAGGCGGTTTTCAAGTTCCTCTTGCCCCCCCTGGAATACCTTGATATCCTCAGCTTGGGCGGTCTGGGTGAGGCGGATCTGCTCCAGTGCCTCCTGCTGCTTGTCATGGTTCCCCGTCATGATGCTGAACATCTTGTTGGTCGTGTCCATCTGCTTGGTCACCCCGGCCTCCAGTCCATCCACCCTTTTATTGAAAAGGGCAACTTCGTCACGAACTGAGGCGATGGATTGCCCCAGCTCCTCTCTGCTACGGCCGAGCTCGGCCCGCATGGCCTCCCGGATCATGTCCAACGTAAGAGTCACCGGGTCTTCACCTCGTTGTTTCTTGCAGGGACTGTCCCCTTGTTCTCCTGCATTGCCTGCTCCCCCCTGCCCGGCTGGCAGTCCGGTCTCCATGGGTGTAGTTGCCATTCTCGATGCCGTGGCCGTAGTATCACGATCTCACCGTTGCCCCCCGCCGCCTCCCAGCGCGGTTCTTGCGGAGAATCGCGTCGGCGAGCAAGACCCCCTGTAGGATCGCCGAGGCCGAAGGGGTCGAGGGTTGGGGAAGTCCCTAAGGAGCGGCGTGTGGCCACCGTACAGGAACAAACTTGCCGAGGTCGCGCTTTACAGCGTTCACGGTGCCCCCGCGTAGAACTGCGAACTTGCCGACGTGCTCGCAATGGCCCCTCTGTTCTCTGAGGCCAAAGTCCCTCCGCTCACCCCTGGTTTGAGGCCCTCTGCTGTCTGTTTGGCGCGGCCTTGAACCACTCGCGGCTTGAGCCAAAATGGCTACTCTCTCTCTCTCTCTCTTCTTCCCCGGGGCATGAGGGGAGTGCGAAACCCCTCAGCCTTAAAGGCCCCCCCGATGTTTGTGGGGCTTTTGGAGGGGTGTGAAAGCTTGTGAAGGTTTTCCCCCGGCTGTTCTCTACCCTGCATTTGTTCATAGGCTTTAAAACCTCTCTCTCTCTCTCTCTCTGGACCCGGCCACTCCAGTCTCACGTGCCCAGTTCTCATGATCTTCCAAAGTTGCGTGCTTGCATGGCACGTATCTTTCTGTAGCTGTTGTGTCCATGTGTCACGAGCGAAAGAAACAAGACAGCAGTGCTCACGCTTGCCCGAGGCCACCCAGTAGGTGCGTCGACATTCGTCCGCCTGGCTTCTTGAAATGGACTATGAACTTGAAACCCGTGCGAGGCTGCAGTGCACTGCTGCGCCGAACGAACCGAAACCTATCATGCGTGGCCTAGCAAACCCGACAAAGAACGGCTGTCCGGTCCTCCAGAAGTAGCATCTCGCCATGACACTGGCCATTCACGCCTGCTAGCTGCGTTCGCAAGCAAAAGAACGGCCAGTCAACGCGCCGTTACCAAAACCTTCGGCACCATTCAGGCCTGCAATTCCGGCACAAATGCTCCCCGAAGTTTCCAGCCGCTTCAGCAACTGGCACCACATGCTGAAGCAACAAAAACAACAATCCTTCAGCCGCACTTCGTCCTTCCGGCATCCCCCGCTGCCTCCTCTTGACGCAATCGCTCCTGCCCAGCACAGAAGCCCAACCAGCAAGAGCATGCCGGTAGTACGAGTCTTGTCCTCTTCCTGCAGTCGCCTTTCCTGGGCGTTTGCGGTTGCTACATACAATTGCCTTCATGTAACGCCAGAACTCGTGGCCTTTTCCTCGGGGTCTTCCTCGGGTGCATCCGTCGGCCTGGGCGCGGCCCGATTGAGCCCGTGCGGGAGAGTAGAGCGCAAACCCAGTTGGGGCCAGGACTGTGCCGGTGCCAGCTCCTGGTGAGAGCCCGGGCCCCAAGCAACAAGGGTTGCTGATTTACTGTGCCATTTATTTGTACCAGAGACACTTCCTCTATCCATATAAAGATGCGTTTTGCCAGATGGCACCGCGTGTAAGTAATGTGAAATCACATTCGCCTGCCGCTTTGTGTCCGTGATATAGTGGTATATAGTGCAAAATGCACCGACACTCACATCACAACCCCGCAGTTTTGGCAGCTGCTCTCAAGTATCCACTGTGCCACTGCTCTAATTTCTGCGTTGGATCTGCGGACGCCTCCCATGCGAGCAACGGAAATGTTGAGCTGGGGGCCGTTGAGCTGTGAAGGAGAAGTTAGAAACTGGATTTCTGGGAAGTGAACTGCTCAAGAACAGAAATGGAACACAAGCAGCCCTTGTCTGGAGCATGTGGCGGAAATGAGTCACGGTCGTGTCATCTGCTGCAGTCTGCATGTGGGCAGCGCAGCGCAACAGAAATCGCAAGCCACGGCTCCCAATTCAGATGCCAGCACTGTGTTGGCTCAGGGGCGCTGCATTGGCATGAGGGTTGAGAGTCGAGGCGAATCGAAAAACTTGACCCCATGGGGATGAGTGCTGCTTTGGCAGGGGTGGAGGGAGTCGACAATGGATGTATGACGATGTGCGTTGTGAAATTCCAGCCACCGCAGGAAGAGCTGTTGCTGGCAGCGATGATCAATGCGATTCGCGCTTTGTCCAGTTCAGCTTGTGCCGCAAGCCTGGCCTTCGAAGACGACTTCGAGGAGGACTTGGACTTGGACATCACGGGCCTTCCATGGAGGCAAACGTCCTCAGATCAGAGGCGTGAAGGCAAGCTATCATATTCCGACAGAAGTTCCTGCAGGAGGTGGCCTGAGCCATCCTGAGCGCCCAGCAGCTCTGCTGGCAGCTCAGATCATGGGAACTGTGCCGAAATGCTGCAGAAACCCTGTTCCTCGGCTGATTCGGCTGATGATATTCCTTCGCGATGCAGAGAGGATAGTGCAAACGGCCGCAAGCTCTAGCAAATTTGCACCTGGCACCGATTCACCGGACCGGTGTCGCCCTACGACGATAACATACCGCCGACTCAGCCGGATGATCATGCGCAGCACCGAGCCACCTGGTGTGAATGAAGTCTTCATCGGCCTGCAAAGCACCCCATCTTGATGTCGTGAGGCCCCGTCTCGTGCGAGATGCTGCTGTATGCGTGAGAGCAGGCGGGAAGTGAATGCCGCTTGCCGACAACCACGGACAGGTAGTCTCTGCAAACTCCACCCCCGTCTCCAGACCCAGCATGATTCACTCTGTCAGGCTTTGCTGTCCAACAGTTCGCGGATGGGCCCGCCATCTGGAAATCGCTCTGCGGCCAGTGCCTGTGGAGTCACGAAGGACGCAGCCTGCTTCAACCTCGCATCGGAAAACATGGGCTTCTCTTTGGACTTGAATGAATTGAAGGTGGGAACGTAGTTGCTCTTGCTTGGACTGATTCGGACTGATCACGCAGGCAAGCATGAGAGCAAGCGATTAGTTTATGAGTTTTGAGCTATCAAGCAGCACTCGGTGTGGAAGGTTTCCGCAAGCTTCCGTTGCAATGAAGAATCGGCCAGCATGTTCACCCACAGTACCACAGGTTCGCGCACCAGCTTCCACCAACACCTGCGAACAAACCAGGCCCTTGGCAGGTGCCTTGAAGTCAGGGTGTTCGCGCGGTTCAACCCGTTTGGGAAATTCCCACGGCCTGACACACCTCCACATGGCCGTGGAAGACCGCCCAGTGAAGTGCTGTTCGATTCCAGCGGTCCAGCCAATCGGCTCGAGCATCACCTCTACTCATCGCTGGCTTCTATCGCTATTCTGCTGCCGCCTGTATCAGAACCCCGGCAGCCTACAGTATATCTCGCGACCCACCCGCCTTGGAGCAGTGCGATCGCTGTAGCAGGGTTGCCGGCTTTGGCTGCTGCATGAAGCGAGGTACTGCGGCCCGCAGTGTCCTTGGGTTTCGAGATGCTCTGTTTTCTAAACGGGGGCAGCCCTTAGCCTTGGGCTCCCGCCGTTGCTTCGACATCAGCCCTGGCCTGGCACCACCGAAAAACAAGGAGACACCGCTCTGAGGCATGAGGCAATCCTCCAGCAGCAACTCTACCATCCGCCGGCCACAGCGCTCTGCGGCTTTAAGAAGCGTGGGCGTGCCATGCGCCTCAAGAGGACAACTCCACAACCGGGCCTTGCCTTGTTTCGGCCTTGCAAAGACGGCCCAGACATGCTCTGCACTGCACAAAGCTCAGCGCTTTCTGCAGCTTCGGTGCATCCCGTTGCTGCGGAAGCGCACTGTGCTGGAGCAGCTCCTCAGCGCAGCAGACGTGGTTTCCCATCACAGCCTCAGAACATCAGAGCATCTCCGAGCATCTCCCCCAGGCGGGGAGGTCTTGTGCACGTCTTCCGATACAGTAAGGCTGCGACCAGAATGAGGGGCGTCGAGCCGTGTCTAGCATATTGTCCTCGCAAGGTACCTCGCCAGAGACATCGGCAAAAGGTGGGGGGACGTTGTATTGCAGCCGGGCCTCCCTCCACAGGCGCCCCTTCCCGAAGCAGCCTTGGTTGCTACGAGATGCTACGGGACACTTCACTTCATCTTGCATTTCCGAATGCACAGCAAGAAGAAACGACACGTGTGCAAAAGGAATCTGCGGTTGAACACGAGGAAGAGTCTCCTTCCGATGCGAGGAGCAAGCGTACCAGAGGCACGAGGCCGGCCTCAGCGGCACGGCCTTAGATAAAAACAGGTCTCAGGCCTCAGACGCTTACAGGTTCCATGAAGTCTTTTCGATGGTGGAGCATGGCGGCAGGCACTGAGTCGGGGTGCAAAGCAGCTGCTCCGCGGTGTCTTCGGGAACCTGCAACAAACTCGGCTACTCAGCCTGACAGTCGGCCTCCCCGAACTTGACAGATAAATGATTAGTTTGCTTGCGACTGAAGCTAGGGGATCTTTGTATCCAGAATCTGGACCAAGCCTGCTCGCCTGCCTACCTGATGCAGAAAGGTTCTCGGCCCGGTCTCGGCCCGGAATTGCCGGATTCTCAAGATGGTCTTCCTTACCCGCCTTAGACTTACCGGCTTATCGGACTGCTTGTCACTTTGCCGGTGCCGGGCAGCTTGCTCCCATGCACCATGGTCCAGCTCAGGATCTTTGTCGCCGCGCTGGACCTTGTGCTTCACGTAATTGATCCGCAGGTCCACAACGTCCGCCTGCATTGGGCTTGGCTGTCATCGAAAATTAGCACATGTAGGTCACGGAGCGATGCATCCATCCACCCATGCCAGCTTGCCTTCTTGCTTATGTTACATACCTGTACACCTGCTCAACAACTTCACCTACACACGGTTGTTGAAGCGCAACAAAGACTGCAGACAAGCGTAGATGCACAAGTAGATGAAGCCAGGAGTATCTGGCCGTCGGGAGGTATGGGTTGCAGACATGTGGACCGAACGTAAAGGAGCAAAATGCAGGGGCACCAAACACACATCTTCTCAGAATTAGATCCCAAGCGTATTCCAAAGTTGCTGCCTGGCTTCTCTACGCACCCAGCTGGAAGTTTACAAGCTACAAATGAGGGAAGGAGGGGGAGAGAGATAGATTGATACGGAGAGAGCCAAGCAATGAGGTTTTGCGCGAATGCGGCTTCCTCGCTGATCTTCTCCTCAGCCATACAGGCATCCGTGCCCGGGAAGCGGACGCCACCTCGAGCCAACATCTGGCAGTAGATCCGTAGCCGGGGCGAGTGGATCAACTTCTCGGGGGACAGGATGATCCCCAAAGAGCTTGCAGGGCTCGCCTGGGCAAGGGCGGCTTGTCGGGCATGAGTGGAAGCTCTCTCTCTCTCTCCCTCTTCCTTTCTCTACGCTTTTCTCTACAGGGCGTGAGGAAGCTGCAGCGTCCAGGCAGCCCCCACGTGCGCGCACACACCCTGGCAGTTCCTTGGCGAGGAGTCCTTTTCTCAGGAGTTATTCTCCCACGGGCTCTGATGCTTCTTCAGCACGATCAGGGGAGTCTGCATGCGGCGGCCCCCACACGATTTCACGCACCGGGGAATTATCGTGCTGAGAAACACAGTGGCTAGAAGAGACCCCAACGCAACACCCGAACACTAAGACCTAAGACCCCAACCCGCCTCGTAGACTAAGCTTGGAACACCCCAACGGCAGGATCCCAGGTCTCTCACTACAAACCCTGAAGGCCCGACCAAATTGGTCAGCTCCCACCAAAAGGTCACCCCCACTCGCAGCAGCTCACAACTGGATAGAAACAGAACACACGCATGCTTGTGTGCGGCCGACTGTCAACTCAGGCTGTCCCAGAGGGCACTTGCACTGGAGACACAGGGGAAGAGTCCACAGGTCGTGGACAGGTCGTGGACCCAGGCGCCCTCTTCCCCTTGGGGTAAGCAGAGGTAGGAGCCTTTCCCCCCATGTTCGGTTTGGCTGGTAGCATGTGCCTGGTGGGAACCCAACCCTCCCTGTAATTTAGCCCGCGCCTCGGCCTCATCCTCAGTCCCTCGCCAGGCATCAGGAACAACGGTTGGATACAGTGGTTCCCCCCACCTTTTCAAGGTGAACCAACAACAGAAACACAAGACGTGCAGGTCACAAGGACAAGCGGGTTCCCCAGCCAATTATGCCTGGCTTTTGCAAGCGTGACTGACGACTGCAAACGGAATTGAACCAACAGCTTCCCCCAAAAAGTACACTGGAATTGCAGCACATTCTCTCCCCTCAGCTCTCACTGTTCATCAGGACTGGACCCTGTCGAGTCGCTCCGCTTTCTTGCCATGTGCGCCTGCACTTGGCGCACTTGCCAGCTGAGGTCGGGAACCAGGTTCACGTGAGTCCTCTCCCCCCTCGTCTCTTGTGGGGTTCGGCCTCTCCGCGGCCTCGCAATTCTCGTTGGCGGTTCCCTCGTAGGCTCATCACCAACCGTCCAGTGGCGCCATCTCTGTCCGATGGCCCTTTCTGGACCCCACGGCCACTCCTCCACTGGTCCTCCAGTGGTGTGTCTGCTTCCTGAGGGCTGTGCGGAGGGTCTGGAGTTTGGCTGCTGTACGTGCTTGCGGCACCTTGTGGAAGATGCTGGCAAAGTGCTTCCTGAGCTGCTGTTGCCTGTGATTGTCATCTAGTAGGTGGTGTTCCCACCCTTGCCGGCTAGCTTGCTGGTCCAGCGTGCGAAGGCCCGCCAGTCCGTCTGGCTGGCGCGGAGTATGTTGGCTTGCTGCCATGTTCTGTGCTCCTGTTTGCGGGCTCGGCTTACTGCTTTCCATGCTAGCCTGGCTTGGCTCGACGCTGGGCCTGCAGCTGGCGACTTTCGCGAAACCTGTCGAACCCTCCTCCCGGCGCGGTGATGGCGGCTGCAACTTCTGCCAGGTGGGCTTGGGGGTCCCCTCTGCGGGCCGGCGGGTGCTAGGAGAGGGTGTGTTGGAAGTCCCCCGTCAGTCGTCTCGGTCCCCATCGTTGCTTGTAAGGAAGGTGTTGAGGTGAAGTGGAGACCAAGACCCACACAGCATCGTGTCTGCATTGGTGGACCCCTCCCTCCTCCGCCGCATGCCCTTTGTGGAAGAGGTAGTCCAGTCTTCTAGGCCTCATGGCTGTGTTGTAAGGGTGCAAGGTCGGTGTGTCCAGCGCCTGGGGCGGCAACTGAATCGCCCGTCCGTGCTATGGGTGCTCCTTTTCATGTGGCCGTGAGGGTCTCGTTTGGCATCAATCCCCAGCCAGACTTTGCTCTTGGGCATG